AAAAAAAAAAAAAAAAACCATTAATCTTTGAACATCGGAACTTAAATTGCAATTGTGCTTAAATTCAGTTTTGCTATGGAGCCATCGGATGACTCGGCTTATAAAGTCATCCATAGTTATTTATAAATGATGTATTGACACGTGTTCTGCAATAAATACTCATTGGACATGTGTCAGTATACAAAGCGATAGATGGCTCTATAAGAAAGTCATCCAATGGCTCCATAGAATTTCTCGTATTTAATATTAGGACAATGTTATAATATGTACAATTATAATTGACAACATTAATTAACTTTTTCATTGAGTCAAAATTTAGCCACAAGTTTACACGGTTTTGTTATGGAGCAATCGAATGACTCGGCTTATAGAGTCATTCATAGTTATTTACAAATGATATATTGATACTTGTTCCGCAATAAATACACATTGGACACGTGTCAATACATAAAATTATGTATCTCGATTTATGCGTGTCATCCTTGCGCTAATCTTCTCTGTATCGTTCCAATTTTATCGAATGTCCTCGAAAGAACAACATAAAGTTATGTATGACTTCATCGAATTTTACAAGTTTACAATATATACATCCAAATCATACATTACATTGACCATATATTGTTTGTAAAACAATCAAAACGAGGATCCTTAAATGAAACTTTCATTTTGAGTTAGAAAAAGAAAAATGAACAAAAAAATAAAAGGTGGAAAATGTGAAACAGAGAGGAATGTCACACGATCTAATCTCCATTTTAACTTTTGAATTGAAAGCAACGAGTTAAGATAAGAGCATATTTGAAAGATTAAGAGATGCGTCGTAGCAGATTATAGCTCCCGTCTTCAGGTTAATACACGCCACGTTAACGTACACGTGGCAATCTACTCCTCGTCAGCAAGTTTCTGTTCCTATATATTCCCCCTCTCATTTTATCTTGTCTCGTACACTATTAACCAAATAACATTTTGAAGAAGAGAGAGAACTGTTATATCTGACCATCTCCGTCGCCGGAAAATGAATTTTCCGGCCATCTCTTTCCGATCTGTTCCTTGCAAACTCAATGTTTCTGTGTCCTTTCATCACCGCCACTTTTTTCACGAAAAACCGTTCTCGAAATCTCTGAATATCTAATTTCCATTTACTTTGTTTGTTTGAGATTAGTGCACAGAAACTGAACTTTTGTTTTCTGTAATATTTGTGGATAAGTTTTCTCAAAAGAATGCCTTTCCCGATGAGGATCCAGCCGATCGACTCCATCCCAAGCGACGCCGTGAAGCCACCGGTGCTCAGATCTCGCCTGAGGCGGCTCTTCGACCGCCCCTTCAACGGCGTCCTCAAAACCTCGTCGTCGGAGAAGACGACCGCAGGCGCCGCCGCCGGCGGCGGCGGCGCGGCTGAGTTCGAGCCGAGCTCGGTCTGCCTCGACAAAATGGTTCAGAACTTCATTGAAGGCAGCAGCGAGAAACAATCGGCGGTGAAATGCTCCCGGAACCGCTGCAACTGCTTCAACGGCAACAGCAACGACAGCTCCGACGACGAGCTTGATTTCTTCTCCGACACGCTCACCCCCAATTCTTCCTTCACCGACCCTTGCGATACACTCAAGGTATTTATAATACGCAACTTTCCGGCTCAGTACTCTCAATAAACGTTGATATTTTCCGGTTATAATTCTCCGATTTGCAGAGCTTGATTCCGTGCGAGAGCGTTGCAGAGAGAAATCTGCTCGCCGACAGTTGGAGAATCGCGGAGAAGCACGACAGAAGCTGCAAAAGGAAACATGAATTGAGGAAAATCATCACCGGCGGTCTAATTGCTCTCGGCTATGACGCCTCCGTCTGTAAATCCAAATGGAAAAAATCTTCCTCCATTCCAGCCGGTAAATATTTCAATGATTATTGGATCTTGTGAGGCTTAATTTGAATTTCTTAATATTTTTTAAACTGATTATTATTTTTATTTACACAGGCGAGTACGAGTACACGGAGGTGATGGTGGAGGATGAGCGGCTGATAATGGACGTTGATTTCCGGTCGGAGTTCGAGATTGCCCGGTCCACCAAGGCTTACCAGGCGGTCCTGCAGTGCCTGCCCTACATATTCGTCGGGAAAGCCGACCGGCTCGCACAGATCGTGACCATCGCCTCGGAGGCCGCCCGGTCAAGCCTGAAGAAGAAGGGGATGCACGTGGCGCCCTGGCGCAAAGTCGAGTACGTCAAGTCCAAGTGGCTCGGGCCTTGCACCCGGGTG